GACAGCTGACTCATCTCTTTGATTCAGAGAAAAGCACCTAATTTCTTTAACGTGGTTAGCGAGGTCCCGTAACATCTGACACCTCCAGTAAACAGCCCCTCCACGTATCCTAATCTGACTGGGTTGCTCCATGGGTTTAACTTGGCTGTACGTCTGATAAAACAAATACAGGTCTACATGACAACGATTATGATGATGATGAGGGCAATAGCAGGGAAGCGGCAGATGGGAGGTGGGGTGTGTTTTGGGGGAGCAGGTGTCATTATTTCTGCGTTTCAGGTGCGGCCCCTTCAGGTGCTCGCTCCTCCTTTCCTCTGACGTTCCCTCCTGTGGTGAGAAGGTACTTAGGAGTCTCTTTGTGTGAGTCGGCCCACGTCCGCAGCGGTCCCTGGTGGGGCTCTGGCTCTGCTCCTGTCCCCTGAGGCCCTTTACGTGGCCCCGCCCGAGGGCCCCTCGCACGCGTGCTCACCAAGATGGGAGCTGCTAATGAGCTACTGTTGGACACTTTTATGAAATATAATTGCATTACGGTTGGTAAATAAAGCCGGCATGTGTTGCCACAGCATATGCTGCCAACTGTCAAAACAGGCAAAAACCACAGAGGTGCTGCTCTGCGACATCAGCGGCCCAACTCATTCCCGCCCTGTAGGGGGCGACCCCTCCTCGTTCCCATCATTATAAATAAATGCATCATAACACCTGCAATGTGGCTGCCCTCTTTGTCATGGCATGCTGTGTTATTGTTTTATTTTAGCCTTGCCCCGGTGAGTATCAGCTGCTCTGTCGAAATCGGCACCCGGCGTGTATAATTACAGCATTTGCCTGTCGGGGTGTTGCTTTAGGGTTCAAAGGACAGCCTATATGCTTGGTTTGGTACACTGGTGCTTTTTGGCTTGGAAAATGGAGCGGGTCTTCATTGGCTCAGCATTAGCCCTTTATCTGTCTGACTACTGCTGCTTTTCCAGGCCATCCGGCTGTCACTGGAGCAAGCGTTACCCCCGGAGCCCAAGGACGAGAGCGGCATGGCCGTCAGCAAGCTGCGTATCCGCACGCCCAGCGGCGAGTTCCTGGAGCGTCGCTTCCTGGGGAGCTGCAAGCTGCAGGTGCTCTTTGACTTCCTGGCCTCCAAGGGCTTCCCCTGGGACGAGTTTAAGGTCCTCACCACCTTCCCCCGCAGAAACGTGAGTAGGCCAGCGCCCCGCCCCCTCGTTAGACGTGACCTCGGCCGCCTCCGCTATCTGCCAGTGCTGACGGCGATCGTTAACCCCCCATTCCCCCTCCCGCATTAACAAATAACTTTTCTTTCGCGATCGAGCCATGAGACAGACGGCTCCTTGGAATCGGATTGTAACATCTCTGCAGGAAAATGTTCCTTGTAATAATTGGGTTTTTAATCCCACCAGCTGACTGGAGTTTGTTGCTCATCGGCGTCCCCTGTGTGTGGAGAGTGAGACTGCGGGGATGGTTGGACGCTTGCAGTTTAATTAAAAGCCAAGGCGAGCTAATGAGCACTTTCTCTGTGTGTGTGTGTGTGTGTGTGTGTGTGTGTGTGTGTGCGTGCCGGCGAGTGTTTTATTTCTATCCACAAGTGCATTTATAATTTGGCGAATATTAATTAGGAGCCCTGTATGCACAAAAGAGCACTGGTTACTTAAGATACAGTCAGCAGTATTCACCTCCGTTCCCCCACACCCTCACAGCGCTGCTGCTGCCCTGGTAATTAGAGGCAGGGCTGGTACACTCGCTGGCATGTAGCTAATGAGCATCGCTTTAACTACCTGGTTAATTAGACTTGTTGGAAATAATATGGGCCTTCCATTAATCAAGAGAAGTGTGCAGGCCTGCCCAGACAGCCTGCTTCTGTGGTCCATGGGGAGTGAGCATGTGTGTGTGCATCTACGTGCTCGGAAACATACACACACACGCAGGAAAAGGCAGTACAGGGTTTCCACACGGATGCAGCATGCCGGACGTCCACTGAATGAGAGTGAGAGACTCGCTTTATGCCGGCAGATCGTTCACAAGCACCAGCAGCAGTTGGCGTCCTAATTTCATTAAAACCGGCCTGCAGATCGCCGGCACAGTGTCCCCAGGCTCGCAGTGTAACGAAGGATTAGCGGTTGTATGACCGATTCCCCGCATTGCTATGAAGGACGGCTTTTGGCACGCCGGGGCCCGGTGTCTGCCAACGATAAGGAAGTAGCTAAGCGAGGCGGCCGGGGACAGGCTGATCGGGCTGTTTGTGATTCCCTTCCCTGAGCTGGGGTTCCTCTCCGTCTCAGTCCTGCCTGCCCGCCTGCTTCATTCTAGTGTGGCTTTGTGTGGTGAGGGCTGTGGGGGGGAGGGGGGCAGTGCAGACCTACTGGGTTCTTGGCTAGGCCTCTGGTATTTTCTGTGGCTCCCAGGTAAAACATCTCCGGGTTGCTCAGAATTGGACAGGCACCACACCGGACAGCTGTGTAGGACAGGCACCACACCGGACAGCTGTGTAGGACAGGCACCACACCGGACAGCTGTGTAGGACAGGCACCACACCGGACAGCTGTGTAGCTGCTGAGGACCCATCATGCGGTGTGTGAAGGTTTGTGCCAAGACGGGGTTTAGCCTTTCAGGACAAATGGAGTCCTGAAGAAAAGGTCGGCTCCAGCGAAAGCAGGTTATGTTCTGATCCTGAAGCAGATTTCTGAAATCTTCTGCAAGCAAAAACACGACGCAGACTAGCTCTGTCCTTAACAGTAGCGGCTGTTCTTATTTTTTCTCGATCGAGCTGTCAGGCCTTATGGAAGAATTTGGCGGCTCTCATGCTGAGTGGAAGCAACCAGGTTTTGATTTTTTTTCCCTTCATCTCTCCACCAGGCAGAGTCAAGGTGTGTTCCCCCCCACTCATTTTGACCGGCGTGTGCGTACCCACTGTTTTCTCATGACTGCTGCAGCTTATGAAACAATGCTTTCAGTCAAAAATGAGGAACGTGTGTCCCTAATCAGCCTGACAGATTACCCGCCATGGAGCCAATATACCGTTTCCCTATTCTCACGTACACAGCACTCATCACACAGTGCCGGTACCGAACCGCCAGCTCCACACTGTTACTCCGTGTTGTCACTTCGCTCTGTTACTCTGCACCGTTACTCCACACCTCACACTGATGGTGGGGGTGAGCGGGGGGGTTTGCTTTTGTGTTGGTGTGGAATAGCTCTGTGACCAGATTGCTTTTCTGCTTAAGAGGAGCTAAAAGCCCAGCCCTGCTCCCCCGGGAGCGCAGCCCCATTCAGCCCCCAGCTCCGTTTTACGCCCCGGCGCTACGTGTTGTCGTCATTCCTGGAAGCAGATAATGAACTCCCACTGTTTCAGTAATTGGCCGAATAAACACTTGACAACAAGATTTTAAAACAGACGAGCTATTTGGTTTTAATTAACATGGAAACTAAATGGCTTCATCAAAGAAAATCATTATTGCAGCTGCGCGTTGGGGAATGTTTGAAATCTGCCTCTCTTTGCTTCCTTTGTTTTTATTGTCCTTTTCGGTATACGAGTCACTTCCACACTGAATTCTTTCCTTTTTTTTTTTTTTTAACATGTTAATTTTCCTGCTTTAATCATGGTTGAATCCCATGAACTCGCTTTTCTGACCTTATCTTAACTCATACTATTTCCAGCATTTCTTCTCTTCAGATTTCACCTCTGACTGTACTTTTAAGATGCACAGTTACCTACATTTACCCTAAAAATGGAATCTTCTCTCAGAATCAGCTTGTTTGCAGGGATGCGGGGTTTGTTTGCTGCAACACCAAAGCACCCATCCAGCTTGAGGAGGCCCCACAGGAGTCAATGGAGGGGAGGGGAGGGGAGGGGAGAGGAGAGGAGGTAGGCTGGCGGGAGGACGAGGCCTCAGGTCGCTGGTGCCCGGTTCTCTGAGCAGTGGCCGGTGCTAAAACAGGCCCTCTTTGCTGAGGTGACATGCAGGCCTGGTCATGATGTGGAGAGAGGATCTGTTCACCAGGCACCTGCACGCTGCCGGCAGAGATGGGGTGCCAGTCCGAGCGGCCAGGGAAGCCGGAGCACCTAGACGGGGGGGGGGGGGCAGAAGGAAGCCACTGAAAAGAACAGCTTTGTTTATTGACAGATGCTGCCGCTCTTGCGGCTCCTTAATTGGATGACAGTGTAAACAATCGCCAACGGCAACCGGCTCTGGTGTCAGCGTGGCATGTCGGTTTTGATTCCCCATCCCGTCCCGTCGTGTCTCTGTCAGTGCCCCCACCACACACAGATACTTGCACCTCCCTCACTGGTGCCCCCCCACCCCAATCATACGTTCCTCCTCCAGGTCCTGCCGGTCTCGCTCGGCTCATTAGCGCAGCCCGCCTGTGCCAAACGCCGGTGTGACAATGACGGAGAGGCGCTCTTCCTCCCTGCTTGTTTGCAAAACACCGTAATGTCATCTGTTAGCGCCCGGCCCCCCCCCCGGCCTCCGTGTCACCCTCTCCCCGCGCTGCTAAGTCACGCTGAGAGGCCAGCCGCCCTAATTGCATGTTAATCTAAGTGTGGCACAAACTATCATGGGGCGAAAGGGCGCCGCCCCCACATTTAAATATCGTTTGTTATGATAAATGTGTGGGGTTTTCGCGATAACGGTGAGTGCAGTGAAATAATTGAAATAGCGTCCTGATGTGTTATGTAGCGTACAGTTAGTAACTGAATGTTGTCAGTCTGAGTATTCTGGGATGTTTGGTCAGTCGGGGCTTTGATTGTGACAGCACATGCATCGTTTGCGTCAGCACGCCCAAGCCGTGGGGTGAGGGGGGGGCTTAAACAAGCCCATTCTGTGCGGCACGGAGCTGCCTGCACTGGAGGGGAACTCAGCGAGGGGTGCAGTCACAGAGGGGAGCTAGTGATGGGTGATGAGTTTGCCTGATGCTCTGTTCAAACAGTTGTGCAAGCAGTGGAGAACAGCAGCTTGGACTGGCGATTAATATGTTTTGACATATGATACATGAAATAAGAATAGCATGAAACTTCAATCATGGCTTTTGATTTAAAGTAAAGAATATGCTTTAGACATTTGATAATAGTGTGCTTGGCATACCTGCGGACACTGGGATTCTGTTATCAGGAGCTATTGGTGTTAAATGACTAGTGTTAAACTGGAGTTTTCCTCTCATGGAGAGGATGGAAGGTCCAGGGTAGCCTTGCTGGGTGGACTCCAGCGAGTTAAGCTCTGGGTCGCTTCTGATATTCTGATCCTGCAAAGTCTATTTCTGGATCCCTCGTAGCCAGTAATTTCTTGAATGTTTGAATGGTTGTTTCCTTTTGCCATGCATGATGTCCTGAAGTCTTTCTGGTTTGGCCAACCCATTGGGATGGTGAGTTTTGGGTGTCTGAGTCAGGCTTTGATTCCAGACCTTTTCAGGTTTGTGGTGCTGTGACCTCATCAGTCACCATAATAAAAGTCCCTCCTTTTTCCTCAGTCCCCCATCCGGCTGGTAAGGCGCGTGTCATGCTGCAGGCAGGAGCGTGCGCTGCCCTCAAAGGCACCGGGGTCTCCGGCCTCTTGGGTCTACGGCCTCGGCGTCGTGACAGGCCGCGTCCTGCTTGTTAATTAGCACTGCGGTGGCCATAATGGGGGCTAATCTGTGGGTGTGACCCGCAAGAGGCAGATAAGCCAGCGCGGGCGAGAGCACAGGTGCGGGGCAGCAGCCTATGTAAGGCGATACAGCCTGGCGATTATCGGGCTTTACCTGGGTATCCGGAGCTCGTGTAGAACAACACCAATGGCGAGCTTGTTAGTGGAGATAGCTAGATGATTGTGCACGTGGGTGGCAGCGGGTGGCGGGGGGGGCAGAGTCGCTTTAGTCAGTCATGCTACATGCCAGACCAAACATAGTGTTTCATCGCCTGACGCGTTGCAGGTTTTTCTGAATTAAAATTGCATTTCTTGGTGCCCGTGATCCATTTTGATACGTTTGCACCTGTGCCCCCTCGTTTCTATGGCTGAGCGATTCCAGCGTTAGGGATGTGACATTTAGACTCATGTTGGCAAACAAAATGCTCAGAGTATGGACAAACGTAGCATCAGTGAGTCAATTTGCATATCTTATATATTGACAAATTCTCAAAATTCATATATTAATTTACATTATATATAATGTTTTTTCAGCATTATGGATGTTATCAAACGGACAGACTTTTATGGGACACTGGATTTTATGCAAACTGAATTTTAAAGATAGTAAGCATTATATGTGTAACATGAAAGGCTTGAACACAAGTGTAGATTTATGGGTGTAGATGTATGGGTGTATCTGATGCAAAAAGGGTGCAATTTTAAATGATCTGAGCAGTTGCATACAGTGAAATATATCACATAAGTGAAGATTTTAAAAATATTATCTGTTCCTGTGCTCATGACTTTTTCCCTGGTAAGGTTGACCTTTGCATGGAATCGCCCAGTTACTTCTGACGGTTAGCACTTGACCAGCACAAACATGGCCCAAAGAAGGTGTCGGAGCGGCCGGCCAGTCTGCTGGGGTTGCTCCGGGTGAGAGTGACCCTTAGGAAAGCAAATATGAGGAACCTCTGAAAGAATCAATGTCCTGGAAAGCTCAGAGCTCCGCTGGCGATTGGCAGCTCAGCCTGTCAGGCCAGCACAGTGACCGCAGACACGCATTTCATGACACTGCAGACAGTGTAAACTTGCACTGTGTGTTTTACCAATCTGTCGGACTGTTATCACAGTAAATGGCTGTTTTATTGACATTATTGGGTCATTTATCCGGTAGCTTATCCTGGGGAGTTTGTTAAAGTACTTTGTACGTGAATTGACACAGCAGTGTGTTATTGTAACACTAAAACAATTTTCTGCTCTGGTCGGAAAATTGCAGCTATTTGATGTGAAAGTGAAGTCATCTCATATAAATTTGACTATATGTATATTTTTAAGATGTTTCTAAACATTTCTCTTATAATTTTGTGTTATAATTATCCCATGAAATACTTAAAGAACAGATGGTTTTTCCTTATAGAACTGCTCTGTTTTTGAGCCATGAGCTTATCCTTGCGCTTAGCAGTCAGTTGACCTCACTGCTGACCCCATGCTGTCCGAAGCTCAGTATCGGCCAGTTGCTGTCTCTAACATCAGCATTCACCCCATGTCTTGTTTTCTTATCTCTGCCCTCTCAGATCACCCAGCTGGATCCAGCGTGGACTTTCCTGGAGGCCAAACTGTTCCCTCAGGAGACACTTTTTCTGGAAGCCAAGGAGTAGAGCCCTTTTACCGGGGGAGGAGCAGGCTGGCGGAGCAGCCAAAAAAAAAACCCCGGAGTGGATCGCGTCTGCACTGTCTCTGTCTCTCTCTATCTTTCTCACACACACAGACACATGGACACGCATACCCACAACAGCGCCCCCAACAGGTGCGGCTCCACACAGCACCTCACATGCAGTATGTATGTGCATACAGACGTGTACACAGGCCGCCAGGCATGCAGTTGACCACACACTCCTCACTTACCTGCCGTGTCTCTTTTCTCTGTCCGCACTCATTAAAAAGACTTTCCCACAAAAAGCTTTTTAGATGTTTTGTGTGTAAAGGGGGGAAAAATAGAAAACAAAAAACAAAACAGACCTTTGGAGGATGCTGGACTCTTGCCACTGACTTTAGGCTCCATGATTTTTGACCAAAGGACAGGCTCACCCATTGCAACCTGCCGTCACCCCCCTCGCTCCCCCCAGCATCGATTACCCTGGTTTTGCTGTTAATGCCATGTCCACCTCGATTTTTTTCCCTGTTTTGAGTTTAGTTTGGTATCCATTATATAAAATTTGACTATGTACCTGCGTGAGCCATTCTCTCTCAAAACACACATGCATGCAACTGTTATTTTGACCTAATTTTAAGCTTTGTATTATGGAAATTATTTTCTAATTTATGTGTAAATGTCAGTTCAGATTAGCAGAGCTGTTCCCAGCCTTCATTGTTTTAGGTGGACTTTTCAGGGTAGTCTCTCAGTATCTTTTTGCCTTCAAGGACTATGTTAATATTTTACACTGAATGAAATCCAATAGTTATTGCATATTTATTTTTTAATTGTACTGCCCATTTAAAACTTGTCCTCCCTTTTTATAGAGTGTTCATAAGCTGTTTTTTTTTATTTAATTTTTTTTTGCCAATGCTGTGATTGTTAATACCATTATTGGATTCTTATAATTGCCAGCTCTGAGTGTAAACATTAAAATCTACTCAGGATTCTTCAGTTGGCCTTTGGGATTCTTCACGGTTCCAGCTTTGCTCTCTGACCCACGGAGGGGTGCGACAGCTAAACTACCATACGAGACTGTTGCTTTTCACCTGTCGGTATTCAGACTGGGCAGGTAGCTCTGAAGACAGCATATGGCTTTGAACTGCTGCTTTTTCAGTTCTGGGTCTGCATGCTGAAATTTTCATAACTGCAGCAAGAAGCACCTGCAACATGCACTGAGGGGACAGTTTCAGACAAATAGCATTTGGTCTGGAACATCTTTCAATAATTACACTAACATGGTTAATTGTTAATATATTAACAAAACTACACGTAATATTTTACTTGTTTAAAATTTGAGTTTAATTTGTCGTTTTAATTCAATGATTTTAAGGATTAATATAAAAAGATTAATATACTAATATATCAGACGTGTCAACAGAATAAAACTCCAACATTTTCTGGCCATTTTAACTTTTCAAATACAGTGGAAGCCACTTGTAGTGACCAATTGCTTATATGGGTCAAGAAGCTTGGGACAGAATCATTCCTGTACAAATAGTTTAAATAATTAGTCTTGTAGTAATCAAGTAGTCCTCTTAAAGGGTTAATTTTGGGTCTTTTTATACATGGCAACATGCGGAAATTAATTATGGTTATTTTATTTTTTTTTACTGGCCTACTTTGCCTTGCAGTAACCTGTCTGCTTCTGGCCAGCTACCTGCTGCGTGCACAGAAAACTTGACGGGAAAAAGAGTCATTTTCTCTCAATGACGAATATACACTCATCAAATCTTATGCCAAAAATGAGCCACCAAGATGCAACAGCGAAATTGCAATAAGGTGTATTTTATGAGCAGTACTGTACTGCATTATAGAGTATTTGAATTATACATAATTCAGTAATTTAATTTGTACGGTACTGTAATTTGAAACACGTTTGAAACAGCTGTACTGTATTTTGAAACGGTCAATAAAATTCAGTAAATAGCATTGCTGTCTGTTTTAATACCCCATGTTCATGTAGCCTAATAAATATACAGATATCAATTAGTTGATAATCAGCCAGAGACATAAGGGAAAAATTTGGTTACAATGATCATCCGGTTATAGTGATCACTTTCACCCAGGCAGACATGATCACTGTAAGTGGTTTCCACTGTAATTGCCTTGGTGGATAGAATTATTCACCGTTTTTGAACTTGTTATAAATTTCGGTTATAATCAACACTGTATAAAATGTTCTTCTGAGGGCCTGTCTTCTCCAGATTTGTAGATTCCTTCCTACAGTGATCAAGCCGTTGGTTATCCCTTCTTAGAGTGGCACCCTTTTCTATTAATTTCTCTTCTTTTTGCTTGAGTGAGAGTGTCCAGACACTTGAGTATGAGCTAAAATGCTAATACATCAGATAGAACTATAATACTCAAATGTCAGCCAGAGGTTATGTCGTTAGATGTAGTGAATTTGTTTCAAGTTAATTTGACATTTCTGTAAAGGACGCCACTGTGAATCAGTGCTGCTGGCTGAGATGCTAAGCACCACATGACCATATGACGCAAAAAGGATTTAATCTGAACGGCTGCATAATTTTATAGGTAATCTTCTGTTTGCATTTCTTATATTTCTGAGAGGATGAAATGGAATGACATTGAAGGTAGGAGGACAGTGATAGATGGAAGTGTCATTTAGATCAGTATAATACTGTATAATTATATATTACTATTCATGTATTCCACAGTATTATAACGGTAAGACCTTTCTTTAACCACTTTTATTAGACAATTTTATTTTGGGTTTGTTTTCTGGAATGGTGCTATCGTCCAATTGTACGAAGAAAAAAAATCCTTCCCAATTCAGTCATTTATTTTGTCAAAAATTACATTGCCAATTTCCTAGATTTAATCATTCCACCACAGTGGGGAAGGTTTGAGTCCAACAGAGTGCCTTCCACTGGTATGTAAGTAGCCTGCATGCTCTTGGTGGCCTGCCGTAGAACGTGTGGAGCTCCTCTAAGTGCTGGCTCCTCTTGCATGGTGTCCCTGGATCCAGGCATTCAAGATGATTCTTCACTCGCCGGGGTGGTAGAAGATTAAGTGCCTTACATTTCACTTATAATATAGACTAATCATGTCCAATATAAGAGGGTTTTAGCTGTTAGCTTATTTTAAATAAGATTACCTCTTTTTAATATATGCAAAGGTCTCTGAGATAATCAGAGATCTGATTTTCAATAGATTTCTGTGTATTTCTTCAAAGTATCAAACTCATTTCTGTAATTAAAAGTAAAACGTAGGTTATGTCAGCCTCGACACCAGATCTTTCTTTCCTCGTGGTGCTTAGGATGTGCTTCGGTCAATGGATCAGTCGTTCATGAGTGAAGAACCCATAGAAATCAGGTGTTTTGTGCCTGAAAGCCAGACCCTAAGGTAATTCTGCTGGAAGCACTGCAGTATTCCTACATGATCCAATGGTCTGTTTAATAGCGGACACCTAAGGGGACGCCTCACGGCTCGCCAGCAGTCATAGCCTGTTTGTGTGCCCTCAGCTTTCTTGCTGAGCCACACGCTCATATTTCTCAGACCTCTCCTGTCATTATCTGTCACAAAAGCTAATTTTCCATGTTCAACAATGAGCTTTAAAAGCTTATCTCTCCATCTGCAGTGGTGTTCTAAGATAAAGACGCAAGGCTGGAGGAGGCATGATGAGCTGCTGGGCGACACTCACCAAGGACCTACAAAAAAAACTGCCCCCTACAGGTGTGTGGTGACTGCTGCAATGCCTGAGAAATGCGTCAAATCCACCATGAAGATTGCAATACTGTAATTGTGGTCACCCATATCGTAAGCATGAAGGCGAATTTGGCGCTGTGGTGCAGTTTGCCTGCAGCCTGCGTCATTCGCACATGGTGATTTCACATTCAATGGTTTCATTCATCTGATACTCTCGATAATGATAACAAGGGCCCCAGAATCACTGGTCATCCTATATTCTTGTCATGTCATCCTGATCCATGATCCTTTTTATTGTGTCTGTTCTTCCTACCAAATCGCAATATTTTTTTAAAAGGTAAATGGTATTTTACGTTTATCGTTGTTTTCTGAGTTCGCAATTGCTTTCAAGGCAGCGTTTGTATTGTGTTTCAGAGGCAGGCTATTTGCATAACCAATCAAAGAAATCGTCTCAAGTCCCACCCCAAAGAACCGAAGTACCAAAGAAGTACTACAGCTGGCTTGGCATCTTTGGTACTGGAACTTTTAGTACTGGTACTCGACTGGAAATGAATGGAAAAGCAAGTACCAAAGTTTCAAAAGTACAGTACTTGGTGCAGTGGATATGTACCAGGCCTGGCTTTGGTGTATCCTGACACACCTCTTAGCATGCAGCAACAAAGTAATAGTTATGCCACTTTATGCTGCTACAAGGCAAAGTAGTTGTGTTCTCTCAATGTAGATGAAACGCCTGTCATCCCAATACCTGACAACAACCAATAATAATAATAATAATAATAATAATGCTAATAATAATATCTAGCAAAAATGTTTGGGGTTTTGCCCGGCTGTAATATAGGTTCATCTATATACATTTTTATACGTTTCCTCATTGTTTATTTTAATAACTAGCTGTAATCTCTGAGGTTCTCTTACATCCCAGCCAACTGAGCTGTTTGCTGAATAACTCAATAAAATTGACACAGAGACCTAGTTCCTTAGATCTGCAGAACACAAATGGTTGGCTTTTGCTTCTAGAGGCACCTGAAATGGACAAAGAGATGTGTGTGAAGGTAAGCCACGAGTGTGTGGGTGCCAAGCCTGTCCGTGGGAAGAATGACGTCATCCGCCAGAGTGATGTGCATGTGTAACTCCTGTAACAGGATGCATTTCACTCATCAGGTGAACATATAAGCAAAGACTGATATCTCATGTTTTACTGAAGTCACCAATGATAATAGTGCTGCGTTCTTTGGACATTGCAAAACAATTCTAACAAATTTCTCTCATATCATTTGCCACATCCTGGTCATTAAGTGTAATTTGCTTTTACAAGCTAAAAACAAAGTTGTTTTTCTGTGGCATGTAATTATATCTGTCAAAATAAATTCCAGGAGTTTTGCAGGCTGATAGATGTTAATTACACGTAAAGCATAATTGTCTCCCCTAAGTTAAACTTCGGCAGCAAACACTGACAAAACCAAAAACAGTGATCCTGACCGTAAAGTAATCTGGCATATTCAGTGCTGAATGCAGTGATGTTAATACATTTTAAAAGTGCCCACTTCATTTTGAAAATACATGCTTTGTGTGTCGCATGCAAGTCAGTTCTAAGAAACATTCTCCACTGTGTTGAAACCCAAGAGTTTTACGAATTCAGAATTTATTTTTAAATGAAAACCTTTACATTTCTCTGTTTAAAGTTCTCTGTGCTGCTGTAAATCCAATTAAATTTCATATACTGAAAGTTTTTAGCCAACAGAACATTAATGCAGGAATATAAAGTATTTCCAACAGTTATGTATGGAGGGTCACACATGAAATTGGTTATTGGAATGAATGAGGCTTTGAAATTTGTGTGGGGAAAAAACATTGATTTCTTATTTTTTATTTTTGTTCTTTTCTTTTTTTCCATGTTTGTTTTTTTTTATTTTTTATACATTTAGTACTTTAATTTCTCCCATATTAAATGTACCCTCATTATGACAGACATTTTTCCCATAATTCTTCCTTCAGCAATTAAAAAATCACATATCCTCAATCTGATGGTGCAGCAACCGTCTGAAAAATAACTTGAATGCTGCGCATTTCTGTTAGGTATAGGACCTGTGCAAATTGCGAGTACCCACTTTTTCTGTGTTCTGTGTATTTTTCAATTAGGGATTAAATAAAAGAATTTATTTTCGTATTTCCAAGCCCAACGTAAAGCATCTTCCTCGTCTTTTTCTACCTTTTTCATATTGAAAAGTAACACGTTTGTTATTAAATTCTCTTGTAAAGTATAAGGAGCACGTAGTTGCCTGGTA